GCTCTCCAAGGGAAGGAACGATGTGTGTGTGTTCACTGTGATAGCTTTGACATCCAGCAAAGTGTCTGGGACATTTGCAGGTACTTAATAAAAAAGATCTGTGCTGAATTTTTTAATGATACAACTGCAGTGCCATGTAATTGATTAGGACATTTTGAATATGGTTCATTGCAGTTGTAAATAGATAAATATTTGAAAAGCATCAATTTCATCAGTTCATACAAAAGTGTTGGTTATGGCCTCACTACTTAACCTGTGGTGGCATTAGCATCAGTTGAGAGCACCTTAGAAATGCAGACCCTCAGGCCACTCTCCAGACCTACTGTGTCAAGTCTGAAATTTATAAGACTCCCTGGGTGCACTGGTATATGTTGTAAATCAGGAATTAAAAGCCCCAATGTTTTGTTAGGGAAGATTCCCTAATGAGTGAAGTAAGTCAGATATATATGTATAAGCACAATAATAGGTGACCTCTGACACTTACCCCCCTCTTAGTAGGTGTGGTGAGACTATGTGGACATGGAGAACATTAGTTTCATCTGAAAAGAACAGGCTGCTACACAGATCACAATGATTGCAGAACTAGTAAGACCTCTGAGCAGTTCAGAAGAAAGAAACACAAACTTGCAAGTAGAATTTGTGAACTCAAACACTGACAACAAAATTCAGTTCTTTTAAAAATTTTTTCTTCATTATTGATTTGTAGAGACAGAGGCAAGGAGAGGGAGAGAGAGATAGAAACATCAATGAGAGAGAATATCAATTGGCCGCCTCCTGCATGCCCCCCACTGTGGATTGGGCCTACAACCTGGGCATGTGCCCTGACCGGGAATTGAACCGGTATCCTCTTGGTGCATGAGTCGAAGCTCAACCACGGAGCCACACTGGCCAGGCAAAGTTCAATTCTTTTAGAAGCAGAAGAACTATGAGGGTCAAAGAGAATACACATGTGTGACTGTTCTGGTTCAAAGGTCTCTAAGTTTACATAGTTTCATATAAATGAGGAGACTTTTAGGAATGCAATAAACACTTCCTGAACCTTCACAAATACAGGCTTCTTTAATTCTGCAAGTCAGAAAACCCTCTTTGTTTTTTTCAAAGCATTCCATTATTCAGCCCATACTCACTTAGTGTCTGCTCTGTGCTGAGGTGGCCCCATGCCAGGTGCAGAAGACCAAAGATGAATAACATAGACTCCACATGACTTCCCACGGCTTACGTCTCATAATGATCACCTTCTACTACAAAATGCGGTATTTTGTGTAAGGATGGCCACAATAAATTGTCATGTCTCTTTTCAGAGATGTTTTTAAGAAGGTTTCACTCTGGCTTCACAAATCTAGATGGGGAGACAGAAGTAGAAGGCACAGCTTACGTAGACACATGAAGTAAAGGAGTTTTACAAGAGGATGCGGTTCAGCAGAAAGCCAAACCAAACCAAAACCAAAAACAAACACTCGCAAAGAAGTGAATTCTGAATAGCATGTGTAGCACCCTTGGCTATTTAAAAATGTTAACATTTCTTACAACACTTCCTCCGCTTTTTAATTCCTGGCAGACAAGAAAACCTACCTCGTCATTGTGCAGAAGGGAAGAGCTGTTTCACAAAATCTAGAGCTCGGAATCCCATTTCCCAGGTCGATGAGAGACGTAATGAAGTTATGTAACCACATTTTGCATTTTATTTATTTCTTCTCCTCCAGTCGGTTTGGGGGAACTCGATCCATCTTTATCAGACAAGTTCCTGTTGCCCCTGGAGAAGCAGTGACCTTTACGGGAAAGCCCCACACTAGTAGCAAACACTTCTCAAGGCTTCCTATTAGTTTGGTGGCAGCTGCCATCAAGTGTAATAAAAATCAACGGAACACTTTATTCAAATGCCACTTGTTGATGATCCCACAGTGGTGAGTGAGCAAAGGTGCAATTAGTCTGTTACACACCTGGCACTGAGGTCTCCATCTGGAATTATAGTGTGTTTTGTCTCATTGCATCTGAGCTCTTTCCCTGTCATCATTTTTTCGATGCTGAATAATGTTTCGATGAAAAAAAAAATAGTAACTTTTTATTTTATTGTTTTCAGACCAAATATTCATTTGTTCTCCAGAGCACTTACCAGCAAGTAAACAGTCATAGAGGACTCTTTTTCTTCATTATTTACCAACTCTCTCTCTACTCTTTACATAGAGATAGCAAGCCATTCACCTATATAAAATTTATTTCCATGTTTTAGGTTCATCATTTCCATTCTGACTGTGAGATGATTTTCACACCATTTTTACTTTTCCTCCCAACTTAACATCTCTAGCCCTCATGCCTTACAAAATCTCTGCATTCAGCAGAGACATCAATATTCAACATTATTTCTCTCCAGCATTTCCCAATTTTTCTTCTCCAATCAACAAAATACCAATGTGTCTATTTTCACTCATCCTAGAGAGTGGGGGGCAGAGGCACTAGAGTCACCCAGAAAAACCTGTGTCTATTCTCTTCTCTAAGGCAATGCATTAATTTAAATCTTCTACTTTATTCTCTCTCTTTGATTACTTAACTATCTTCCAATTGCCTCCCCTGCCCATATTTTGCATGTTTGCCACATTGACTTTTTCTGAAATGAAGATCTCGTCACGCATGCCCTGTTCTGGCTTCTCGCCGCCTAGAAAGCAAAGCCCAGCCTCCCTATCTGATATGTAAGCTTCACTGTAGGGTGTCCCTGGCCTTTCCTGGCCAGACCAGGCACTCCTGAAGTGCTTCTTATCTCTGAAAGGGACACTCTTCCCTTTAGTATGTATGTGGTTTTACTTTGCACAATGGTGCACACCACTCCCTTCTGCTGCCCCCCTCTCCTGTCTTCTGAGTATCTTCCCAGGGGCATATTACCACTTCACGCTCGCTCTGAAGGCACAGTCTCTGCAGTCGGTCACTGGTTTCTCATCATGGCTGTGCCATTTACGAATTCTGGACCTTCAACAAGTTATTCTGCCTCTCGGTTTTAGTTTCCTCAACTGTGAAAGAGGGTAAAATTAGTGCTCACCTCACTAAGTTGTTGTGGAAATAAAATATACAAATACGTATAATAAATTTGCCATGTGCAAATACAATGAATAATTATGACTGAATCCGTTAATACTATCACATTTTCATCTAGTGGTCTTGGTCAGTTTGAAGATAATGAAAGACAAACCTTTAGTGACAAAAGATCATAAACAGAAAAAAACATGACAAAGCCCAATATAAATGCTTTGGGGATTATCAATTAATTGGATATTTTTTGTTCTCTTTTGTTGATTAGGATAATTCACACATAGTTTTTGAAATTCAATATTAAAATAAAATAGATTTAAATGAATAAATATCTATATTGGAAAGAAGTCTAGAATGTAAAAGTAGATATCACATAATTGCTCAAATGCTTTTCTAATCTCAGTAAGTATTTTATTGGGAGTGTTCCAATATTTTCAAATTTCAGAATATTTATCCTATTCTATCTTAGAAGACTAAGAGAATAAAAATTTGACATTGTCCAAACTCTGATGATTCACATAATTACTGTACCACTTAGCCTAAGTATTCTAAAGATTCTACTATCTCTAGGACCGATTAGCTGCATCTGAGGTTTGGAGTGGTACAGAAGGTCTGATCTTAAGCCAGGTTTAGAATCTCAGGGGTCCTGATGAACAGGAGAAAATAGTTGCTTTCAGCTGATTTCTGGAATGCTGTTTAGATCTCTAGTTGACTCCAGAGTCGGATTATACTTCGATTTAAAGCAATGGTCCCAGGCAGTTAGAAGGAGTCCTGATGTTATGCTACCCAGAGGATTTCATAGTTGGGAACAGAGTATAATTGCTGGGAATCAGTGACGTGATAGCTTTAACCAAAAGCAGGCTCCATCCTTGAAAATCTGCCAGAACTAAGGGAAGACTGAGAAAACGTGTGGCGAGACCTCCTCTGCCTCCCCAGCAGCCACTGTTGGCATCCTCCTGGGCAGAGGCTACATTTCTGGGGTCCTCTGAATTGCCCTGGAAGATTAGGAGGTAGTCACTATTCCATTGATTTATTGATCAGTTAAGGACTCTATGAAAATTGAAGGTTGGGCAATTATTTCCTGATTTTCCCAGATCAACAGCAGAAACAAGGAATGTTATTGTCAAAACAGGTATTGTGGTTACCCTAAAGTCAGAGTGAAGAGAGTTGGCAAAAAAAAAAAAAAAAAGAATAAATAGATTTATTACAAATGATTACTCTCTGCATTTCCTGATGTGTGTGCCCCTCATTCTGTCTCTTTCTCTTGTGTATCTATGATTTTCTTATAAATAAGTTTAAGTGAATGGATAGTGCTCAGAAGAGGCATGTAATAATAAAAATTCTTGTAAAAGCAGGAACCTCTTTCTGTTAAAAGTGTTACTATGATAGAAACGACATTATAATAATCCTATAATAACATCATCCGGTAGGATTGCAGGATATGAAGTCCCTGTGTATTGAGATTACTAATGTTTACGGTAATGCACAATGCTTTCCATTCCAAGTAAGCACTTACATCTACTGATACATCTGTATATACTGTGGGTCTGAACACGATTTATTTCTTATGCATTGGAAGTTTTCAATTTGAGGCCTATTATGAGAGTTAATGCATAAATATAATTTTGTTTTCTCTTTGAGACCTGTCAGTGAGTTTTAATTATTCATTAATTCAATAAACATTTAATAACTGACTAGATTACATGCCAAGCAATGTTAGAGTTTATGTGGAATAGAAAAACAAACAGCGTGGGGTCCTATGCTCAAAGTCATCACCATCTGCTAAAAAATGGTTTCTAGGTTAAGAATTTCTTCCTTTGTTTTAATATCGATCAAATTGTAATGTTTACATTTGATAGAATCTACTGTGATCTGCAGTGGTATACTTATGTCATTGTTTCACTATTTAAACAAAATTTAAACATTTATTTCTCCTTACTTCTACTCCTCATCATTTCCTGGGCATCTTTTCTGTGAAGCTGAGTCATCCAATGGTGACTATTCCTGAACATGAAACTCTTGATTCCAAAGAGGTAAATGTAAGATTCAGTTGGAGATCTAGTTATGCATATCCATGTAATATTAGGTTGTAGGAATAAACCAATCTATTTTTGAAAAGAAATTAATAAAATTGTGGGGTTTTTAAAAGAAAGAATTAACGGACCCACTTTGTGTGGTTCAGAAGAATCTGATAGTTAAATGGTACATTTTTCTGCTTCTCAATGTGGAAGGTGGTGCTAGAGGTTCCCTGTGGGTAGCACCTTGATCACAAACTAACTCCTTCTATCGTGACTGTTTGTCTTTGTGATTTCCTCTTTGGATTCATTGTGAAACTACTGTTGTCTTCTTTTTCTAGAGGGTCAGTAGATGTCCCATAATACTTATGGTGTATCTTCTGAGTCAGAGGTCTCAGTATCTCATGGTATCTCAGTCTCTGGACCCCCAAGTGAATTTTGCATATGGCAGCTTGCATACAGACAGAAGCATACAGCTCAAACATAGCCTGTGAATTTTATGTAAATGTTTAGCCACTTTCAAACCTTGAGGTGAAAACAAAACAAAAACAAAAACAAAAAATGCATTAAAAAAAAACTCTTTTCTATTTGTATAAATATTATACCAAAGAAAAAAACATTCTGTAAATTAAAAATGTTTTTTTTTATCCTCACCGAAGGACATTTTTCCATTTTTGTTCAGATAGAGTTGGGGGGGGGAGGGGAAGAGAGAGAGAGAGAGAGAGAGAGAGAGAGAGAGAGAGAGAGAGAAACATCAATGTGAAAGGGGCACACCAAGTGGCTGCATCCCATACAAACCCAACCAGGGAACCAGGGCCGGGGATGAATCGCAGCAAAGGTACCTGCCTTTGACTGCAACTGAACCTGTGACTCATAGGTCTATGGGCCAATGCTCTAACCACTAAACCAAACTGGCAGGGTAATTTTTTTTAATTTTGTTATTGAAGAGCAATAATAATTGAACAGTGTTTTCTTCGATATCCTCTCAAAGTGGTTAATGTAAAAAAACCTTTTTTTAAAAAAGAACTTATCTTTAAGAAACACATAAGTGAGCTCACTCATTAATGTCAGATACCCTCACAAAAGAGCCATGCTCAATTTTTCAACTTTGACTTTTAGGGATGGGGGATGCATAGTAAAAAAGAAATAGGAATAACAAAATTCCATATAAAATTTGAATATTTTTCCAAAGTATCTTTTCCACAATTTAGGGCATATTATTCATTTTTCATAAACTGACATCCCTATTTCTGCAAATTTTAGAAGATTTATCATACAAGACCAATGTACCTCTCCATTATAACTAGTCATTAAAATATAAAAGGTGTGTTAAGAAAGGTATGGGTTTTTATCCTTGATTATATCTTTGATTCTTTAAAAATAGGATTATTGGTTCAATGAATATAAACATATGGAAGACTTTTGATACATATATAGCCAAATTGCATTCCTAAAAAATTGTAGCAATTAATCCTACCTGTTGTAATATCTGTTTCCTTGTACACTTGCTGCACTGAGTATTATTATAACTGCCAATTTATTGAGAGCTTAATACATGCTAAAAGGTGTTAAGCACTTTATATGCATTATTTTACTTAATCTTTGCAAAACATTGTACATTAAGTACTATTATTATTCCCATCTTACAGATGAGGTAACTGAGGCTGAGCAAAATCAGCTAAAGTCAAATAGCTGAAAAGTGTCTGTGCAGTCAGGAATCCAGATCTGACTTCCTGAAGCCTGTGCTCTTAAGCCCTCTACTGTACTCTATCTGGCTAGCTTCATCTAAATTTCCATCTGTATCATCTGAATCTGTCTCCCTTTTAAAATCCTATTTTAAAATATTTGCAATTTAAAAGGAGAAATGATCTTTTGTCTTAATTTGCACTTTAAGAATTCTGTGTTTTCTAGTATACTTTTGTCTATTGTGTTTTTCTATTAAGTTATGCATTTAGCTACTGGTATGGCAATATTTTTTCTTATGGCATTATGAACCCCCTTTATCTATTAAGGATATGAACTCTTTGTCAAATATGCTAGCCCTTTCAGTGTGATGGTGGCAATTTGTGTAAGAGTGACAAATCAGACAACTCTGTATGTCCAAAAACAGGAGAGTGGTTGAATAAATTTTGCACATTCCAGGTGAATGTATTAAAAAAAATAAAATGTTCTCTTTCTTTCAAACAATAATTTTGTTTGAAGTTCTCATAGGCTATATCCATACAATAAGAATGTTTCTATACAATAATAGAAAATCAGTTGTTGATTAAATAATAAAAGCATCCACATACGATGATACTAAAGTAAAAACTTCTGAATGTTAAGTAATTCTGAAAGACTGTGTTGCAAGAACAACAGGGTAGAGGTGGTACTGTAATATTTGCATTATTTTGCATCGCACAATTTATCATAACCCTAGAGACAAAACTTAAAATTCAGCTAGTAATATTTTAAAAGATGATTTCAGCCTCATATTTGGAATATATGAAAAACACCATAAAAGAAACTAGAGTTTGAAGTTTAGCGATTGTGAGAGACAGTATTAAAGGAAATGTAAATAATTAAGCAAAAGGACATTTTATGTTTGTAGTGTCCTGTGTTTTACTTCTTAATAACATCAGCACACTTTGGAGCAACTTAACAAATTGTACAGTTCCTGTGATATGTGGTCAGACTATAAAATTGATCCCTGCCCCTCCCCCCAAACCTCTCTTTGTTATTTAAATACCTGCAAAGAATCAATCCATAAAATTATGTTTTTATATAATAATTCTGGTCTTATGACTCTATAGCATAAGGAGTAAAGCAAGCATTCCAGTTATCAACCCAGCACAGATAAACAAATACGGAAGAACCCTTCATCGGATCTCAAAATTTACCTCTTAGTGTTCTCCCAGTTACTAAAGACAGCAGTCTGTCTTTCTTACTACCAGACTCACATTTCCTGTATTTCATTATGCTGTTTGTAGACTCTAGTTTTTTTTTTTTTGTTTTTTTTTTTTTCACATTAGCTTGGTGATTCATTTAAAACAAGCAGACCTCAGATTTATCTGATTTGACTTGTTCATTGTTTTCATAAGTCATATGATTTATAAAGTACATTGAAAAAGAGCTAACTCAAAACATTTCCACGTATCATTTAGTTCATTGGTTGTCAACTCTGGCTGAACATTAGAACCTCCTTTATAAAAGCCCCAGGAGCAGGGTACCACTTCAGGCAAGTTGAATCAAGAAGCTCTAGAGATGGACAAAAACATTGATTGCTATGTTTTTGAATCTTGGTGATTGACACATGCAAAAAGAGTTGAGAGCCTTAAATTCTAGCTTCTTCTTTGGTGGTTTAGGAAAGCCAATTGAATCAGTTATTTAATCGTGGAAACAAACATTTGAAAGTAAAAGCAGGAGAATTATTAACAAATTAGTTTGATAAAAATGTGGGTCACATATTCCTGTCTGTCATAAAAGTTTAACATGTGCTTTAACTAGTATAGATTAATTTTGAGAGATATGTTCCATGTGAAGATTCACTATAATTTCTTTCGTAAAGTCTGCTACCTTTTTTCTGTTTTCTTTGTATTCCACACAGCTTAGGAAAATACTCAGGCTAAGACTGGACATAGCATTTGGTGCAAACTGAGTCTGGGGGCTGGTAAATTCCAAAGAATGTTTTATTTAGCATTTTATGTCGTACTTAAAAAAACAAAAAAAAAACTTTGGTCATTGATGAACTCTCATACCAGCAGATGAGATGCCAAAATAATCGATTTGACCATTGTGGTCATCTGGTTGATCAATTTTCAAAGAAGGTCACTTTCATAGATTTCAATTATTCACACCAATGCAGCAATCTCCAAGAAGGTATACAGCTAACACAATCTAATTTCCAGCAAACTCCCTGCCTGAGATAAATGAGATTTGAGTAGAGTTTCTCAGAAGAAAATAAATTCTAGTAGCAATAATTATTTCTGGTTATATCCATCATGTCTTATGAATTTAGTAAGTCTTTGATCCACAACCACTCCGTAACTCACCTGTCTTTCTGCAGGTTTAATTGTGAAAGTTACATTGGAGGATGAGATACAAACAATCCTCTATTTTCATGTCACCTGCTACGTGCAGCCTTAGGCCCATTATATTTTTAACTTGAGGGTCAATTGATTTCCAAAACCATGATTAGATGCATTTGATTATGATCTTTCAGATCTACTTTTTATTAACACCACTTGAGAGCTAATCATTCACTAGCTGCCCATAAAACATACACCTGGAAAATTCTTCTCCTTTTTTCTTATTCCTTGTCTTTACATATTTTGATTAACGCTTAAGGGTTGGCAAGATCACAATTTTGCAAGAAAGGTGACTATTAATGATTTGCTGCCTTGGTGTGTATAAACTTTTTATTGTGCACATTTTATTTTGAATTCCAGAATCTCCATTCATGTCTAAAGTTCTAATCTAATGGGACAAGCATCTCATTCCTCTATCTTAATTCTCCGGATAATAACAGAAGAAAGAAAAAGAGTGACTTGTCCATGGAAGCCAGTCTCATTTTCTGGTTTGATTCAAGGGTAAAATTGAAATTATCAAGAAGAACGGGCTCACTTTAGGCATTTGCACCAAATATTATTTCTCAAAATCAAGCTTTGATAAATCTCAGATTAAAGAGTTCAAGGTTGTAATCTCAGGCAAGAACTTGGAATATGGCTATTACTAATTGCTAATTAGACAACTGGCCAGAGGGCCAGGGTGAACTTGTCTTAGAAAGGCACCAAGTATGAGCACCTAAGTGTATACCACCTTGCCCATCAGACAGGTAGGCAAATAAATAACCAGATTCGGGAGTAGTGTACCCTGTCAAAAGGACTTTCCAGTGTTGTAAGCCCCAGCCTGTGTTGAAGAAATATAATTAACAAAACAAAACAAAACAAAAAACTCTACCAGTCTTGGCCACTGTGGCTCAGTTGGTTGAGCATTGTCCTGTGCACCAAAAGGTTGCTGGTTCAATTCCCAGTCCAAGCACTTGACCAGGTTGCAGGTTTGGCCCCTGGTTGGGGTGCATATGGCAGGCAACAGATCAATGTTTCTCTCTCATTGATGTTTCTCTCTCTCTTCCTCTCCCTTCCTCTCTCTGTAAAATCAATATAAACATATTAAAAACACAAAACAAAAAACTCTAGCAACCTAGAAGTCCTCTTCACAAAAGCAGTAAAGAAAGCAAACCATTTTATTATTGAATAAGCATTAAACCAGAATGTGATATGCATCATAGACAATTGCTAAGAGATTGCAAAGTCAGGAGGAAATCCCACTCTTTATATAGTGAAGCATATATACCTCTTATCAAGATAAATAATAATTCAATTCATCCTCAAGTAAGAGGACCTAATATCACCATTTATCATTACACACAGTTTATCTCTTATCACCTGGTAAGTGGGGTGACCATCTGTGTCAGTTAACTGACTCAATATAAAAGAAAAATAAACTTCACATATCTTTATGACAGGAAGTAGTTTTATAACTTGGAGTCAGGAATCAACTAAAGTTGGGCTCTTACCCTCTCTCAGAATCTAGGATATCAGGGTGCTATCTCACTTGAATGTTTACTTGGTTCTCAAGTCCTTGAGAAAGACTTTCCTGGGTCTTAAAGCTGACAAACTGCCCATGAAATTTTCAAAGGAACTTATATGCACTTTAAAAAATGGAGAATGTATTCACAGTGACAAGTTTTCCAAAGTAAATGCTCTAAGAGCAGAGGATGAAAAACCTCTTCTCTTATTTTCAGCAGGAAAATTAAGCCTCTTATTTTTAATGTCTATCTGTCCTTACACCTGGTTGACAAGGGACAGAACTGAAATCTGAGAGAGTCTGACTTTGAAGTAGCCAATAAAAAGAAAGAAACCTCACTTATTTTTCTTTTCTAAGGTCTTAAACCATAGGAGAGGTGGTGGGTTGACAATTTTGGGGTCTCTCCTTTAAAGTTACCTCCGTAAATTGATGTTGGGTTTTGTAGTATAGTGAGTCATGGCAAAGCTGAGCAAAAGTCAGGAACTGGAATGACTTACATTCCTCCATGTGCTACATCTTCAAGATAAACACACAATATAAGGTCTATATCAATAATTGTTGGAGTTCAGGTCATCTCGTTATTAAATGTTTTTGACCCAAGATTCAATGTTATGCTCCCTGGAGTCTATCACACCTGCATTCTTGTTCTATTACTGTCTATAAGGCCTCAGTTACTAAATGTTTAATGTTTCTGGCTTATGGATAATGCATTTTAATGCTAGATCTTGTGTCTTTATACCTAAGTTAGTGATAATTAAATGTCCAAAATACATTTTAAATCTTCCAGGAAAAAAATAAATTTGTAGCAATTAATAATATTAAGATACAGATTTTTCTGGAACTGGCTTTTTGTTCTGCATGCATGAAGTCTGATTTTATATTTTTAAGATCTACACATACATGTGTAGATAATTTTGTTTTCATTTGGCAGAGAAGAGTATACATAGAGGGTTTTGTATCAAAAGGGGATGATAAATTAGTGTACACAGCACATTCTTTCATTAAAAAAAATGCTTTCTATAATAATGGCTTAAAGTTTCACAATACTACATCACTTACTACCAAAAGTAAACTCTAAATAAAAATATTTCTGGAATTTGTCTCCCTCCAAAATAATGATTTTCCTAAATGTCTTGAGGGTTTTTTGTGTGTTTTCTTGTACCAAAAAAAAAAAAAGTGTGTTGTTCAACTGGCAATATAATAAAATACTGAGCCTTAACTGACAGATGCTAGTCTGAAAACAAGAATTTACTTATTTATTTTATTAATGATTTTCATCTTTCTTAAATGTCAACCTTTGTTTTTCCTCAAGTTATTTAGCTCTTTACTTCTATTGAGATTGGCAAAGGAAAAGTAAAAAGTCCACAAAATGTCAAAAACCATGACTCTACCTGTCATAGCATAATGCATCATTTGGAACCAGCTGCTGAATTGTGTTGCCAAACATTACTTTGCTCTGCCAATGGGTTCTGGATGGCTGAGAAACAGTGCTGAGTTTGCCAGCATGGTGTCAGAGGATGACCTACCTATTTGTCCTCAATAAATTTAATTATTCATATAGTTATAAAATCTTATATCTGAAAGAATTTAGAAGACATTTAACCCAAATTTTTATTTAATGTTATAATCCTGAATACTAGTATTTCCTTATACATCTTCTGTTTAAACTCTTCTGGTGAGGAGTCAGACGTGATATATGTTTTAATTATGGCTAAGACCAACTAATGATGACAAGAACAACAAAAAACAAAATGTTGAAAGTCTAGGGCTTAATTTCAAATGCTGTGGCCTTGAGCATGATACTTAATCTTTTTCAGCCTCGATTTAATTCTCTGTAAAATGAGATCAAAGGATTACCGTGAAGATCTGCATGAATGCCTATAAAATGTTTAGTGTATAAAATACGTAGCACTTAATAATTGTTAGGCAAATTGTGGTGGTTTCTTTAAATCTTTTGTAATACCAGCTACTAAATGTTGGCAGTTTCAGTAAAATCTAAAGGAATGTTTTTATTTGTTAGAAAGAAAAGGAAGACCTGTAATTTAGTCACTTCCTCCTTTCATTCTAAAGCTTCGAGAATCCCGGATAGTGAAAGCTACAACTCAATTAAATCATGACTGCTGGTTTTCTTTGGCCAGAACAAACCAGTGCAGTGAGAGAGCTACCCATTTGTGTTAGTAGCTCTTTCTCTAACTCCTCTTTCTAGTCTAACAAATGCAGCTTACCCCTAAATGATACAGAATGTGTCCATGTTTTACGATCCTCCGTAGTCCTTGGCCATGCCATTGTCTGGTTTCCTGTCTGCAGAGAGCCTATGTTCTTCTCGCAGCCAGCTCCGAGTCAGGGCTGCTTCTGACCACTGCTGCTTCATGCTATGATTCAGCCCAAGGCCAAGCAGGGAGAGTTGCCCCAGGAGAGCACTGACCTCCCTTGGTTTCCTCCAGCCATTTGGAACGCTTCATAGTCAACCATGAGTTGGCAGCTGGAGTAAAGTTAAGGTCATTTTCTTCCAGTGGTGTTATTCTATTACGTTCTAGCAGAGTAATATTTTAGAACTAAATTTATCTTTTGGCTTCATGTCCGACACTTTCTTTTATATTTTTCTCTTGTATTATATGATCTGCTAATACCCATCTTCATTCAGTCACTTTATCTGATCTGTTCCAGACATTCAACCCCTGTCAAATAGAAACACACAGAGATTGGATGGATAAATAATTAGAATCACTTCCCTGCTACATAACTACATTATAAAGTCAATTGAATCAATATATGGAAAAAAAAAAAAAGACAAGAGGTTCATTCACTGTCTCTGTCTTATGTAATGTTCCATTTTGCAAGAGCTGGGACTTAATTCAATTCCAGTTCACTTTACCACTGTGTTTTAGAATTTACATTTTAGGAAACAGTGAGTCAATGCTAAAAGATAGGGAGGGCAGCAGCCAAGAGATGGAAAGGAGATGGTCGTGGGTGGGACATGGCGGTGCTATTCCTGAGGGCTGTACAGCCCTTCAAAGCTATGATCACCCCTCTGCAGGAGGCCAGAATTGCTCTGCTGAGCTCTCAAGAGGCCAGAGTCTGATGGGAGCTCAGCTGCCTGTCTTTATTATGCCATTAATTATATAACAGCTACCGAGGAGAAAAAATAAAATTTCTCTAGGATAAACCATTTTTAAAATATGACATGCTATGCCCAAATTTAATGTATAGATTTTTGGTGTGTGTGTGTGTGTGTGTGTGTGTGTGTTTAAATGACTTATCTCCATCACCTGACTACTATTTTCTCTTATTTTCAGCAATGAAGTTGGAGCAGAAGCTAAAAACCCAGGCTACGCTAAAGCTTTCCGGAATGCTGGTGCTAATAGTTTACTAGATTTAACTTTTATTTTTTTCAGTATTTCCCCTTGAGCAGTGCAGCAGTAGAACTAGAAAAAAGTTTCTTGCAAGCATAGAACATCTCAGTACGCTATGACACCTAGCACAGGAGAGATTTACCTACAGCTTCTTGCACCACTGTTAGAGTCTTCAATGACTTCTGTTAAGCTGACAGCAATACTAATGTGCCCCTGTATTTAACAGCAAAATAAAGAAGAATCATGGGTTTTAAATAAAAGAATGGTTGTGACTGTTTTTCAATACCAGTTTAATTTAATGCATACATTACTTACAAAATCAGGTTTTATTCCTCTTTGCTTTATTTTTATTTACATGTTAAAAAAAAAAAAACTTTTTAAAAAATGAGTCTCAGCCTGCTTTGCAGAGATGTTAATATTGAGGAGTTCACTGGGGAGATCTTTTGTTTTTAAGATCATTTTTCTTTTTCTTTTTTAAAAATATGTTTTTATTGCCTTTTTTTTTTTTTTAGAGAAAGAGGAAGGAAGAGAGAAATGTTGATATGAAAGAGCTACATCCATTGGCTGCCTCCTGCACGCCCCCTACTGGGGATCATGCCTGCAACCAGGGCATGTGCCCTGCAGGGGACTGAAACCAGGACCTCTCAGTCCATGGGACATGCTCAATCCACTGAGCCACTGGGCCATTGGGGAGATCGTAGACATGGGGAAGCTGGTATTTTGCATAACACACACTGTTTTCCTGTTCTGTTGGGGTTCTGTGCTGCTGGGACAGGCTATGTATCGGGAGCAGGCCAGTGATGTTGAGCATCATGTCATTGCAATGTCTCCGACATTGCCACAGGATTCTTGTGAAGGCTATTTCAAAGTCAGTACATACTCAAAATCTTGTGAGCAGCAAAGACCACAAGAGCAAACCCACACTGTGATGACAATCCTGAGAGCCCACCCTCCCGCATTCCCGATGCTCATAGATGGCCATGTTCAGTTTTTTCCTCAGTCATCACCCCAGTAGTTCTAGGCTTCAGTAAGTGTTTTCCTTCTATAGCCTTCTGCCCAGCCTGGAAGCCTAGGAGAAGGCACACTGAGGAAGACTCTATTGCAAGTCTGATGGTGAGCTCCTGGTAATAGGGAAGACTCTGTGCTGGCTGATTTACTTAACCTTTGCACTTAACCCATGTTCCCTTTAGGTCAACTCTGTCTGGGCAATAGCTCCCTCAGACCACAGCTTCATCATCCCAACATCTATTTCAGGGCAAAGCAGAGAGAGTTGCCTGTGGAAGAGTAACTAGCCACCTTCATTCCTTACCCACCATTTTGGAGCGTTTCATCGTCAGTCATCAGTTGGCACCTGGAAATATAAAATTCTCATCATCTCCTCAATTAGTGTGTGAAAAGCAGTGGATCTCCTCTCTCTTCCAAATAAAAACTTCTCTATCAACCTGCTAAATTGTGTGAATCATCACTTTAGATTATTGATAATTTCTCATACTCTCTACGCTCTTATCATGTGCCAGGCACCACACTAAGTGCTTCCCGTGAATTTGCTTTGACCTTCACAATGAGTCTGTGAATATTATTATTCATATTTTATGATTGTAGGAGCAGGCTCCAAAAGATTAAATCAAGCTAGTAAGTGGTACAGGCAGAATTCAAATCCAATCAGATTCTAAGTTCAAGCCTTTTATTCAATAATTTGTTCGTTCGCTTGTTCATTCATTCATTCATTCATTTTTTGACCTTGGATATAAAAGGTTGAGTTGATCACATTCCCCAGGTTACTGCAGATTGCTGTTATAAGTTTGGGCCCCTCTCCTGTGTAGTTTGATTCGATGATTGATTGGATCATCTTTTTTTTTTTTAAGTCATCACCCGAGGATATTTTTTCCCCATTTATATTCAGACAGAGTGGGGGAGGAAGTGGGAGGGAGGGAGGGAGAGAGAGAAAGAGAGAGAGAGAGAGAGAGAGAGAGAGAGACATTGATGCAAGAGAGTCACATTGACTGGTTGCCTTCTGCATGACCCTGATCAGGGCCAAGAACCGAACTACAACCACTCAGCACTATGGTTTTTAAACTCTACCCACATTGCTCTGTAAATGTCTAGTGGATTTATTCCTCACAACTGCATGGTGTGCCCTCATCACATTTCACCAACCTACTGGCCCAAGAGGTGGTGTCTCAGGTTGCTTCCCTCTATCAGGAACAGTTGTGATCTACAGCCTTGCATATGCCCTCATGTGGACCTTGGTGAGAATTTCTCTGCAATATATATTCAAGATTGCTTAATCACAAATATGAATGTATTTGACTTGACTAAATCCCTCCATATTTCTTCTCTGTAGAATGGATGCACTCATTTTTTATTTATTTTTTTATCCTCATCCAAGGACATTTTTCCATTTTTTGTTCAGATAGAGCGGGAGGGAGAGAGAGGAAGAGAGAGAGAGAGAAACATCGATGTGAAGGGACACATCGAATGGCTGCCACCCGCATGACCTACCAGGGCCGGGGACAAACTGCAACCGAGGTATGTGCCCTTAGCAGGAACCGAACCCGGGTCTCTCTGTACCGCAGGCCGACGCTCCAACCGCTGAGCCAAACCGGCTAGGGCTATGCACTCATTTTTATTTCCACCAGCAATGCATTAGGCTCTTATGTTCCTATATTTCTCTTCACCCTTGGAGGTCTGAGCTTTGAAACACTAGACTAGGCTACACTATCATTAAAGGCAACTTTTCAGATGGGAAGTTTGTTTGAATATGGTATCCTGTTCCAACTAAGTTTCCAATTCTCAGAGACTTTCATACCCTTTAACTAAGTGCAGTTGTCAGATATTATTGTCTTCATTTCATTGATGAAGAACTTGAATCTGGAGGGTTATTTGAGAGTACCAAAGTAGCAAGTTATAAAGCTAGTACAAGATATTTTTTATTTTTCCTATTATGTTATTTCAGCAAAACAAGCTTCATCTGAATGTCATGGCCTAATCTCTTTGTTCAGCGTCTCAGCAAAGATCATAGTCTTAAGAGCATGATTACTGGAGAGCAAGTGTTAGTTGTGGGGAGAACAAAGACTTGGCTGCTTTTTAGATTGGTCAGTACTAGCATGCAGTGGCCTGAGGAGTTAGGAACACAACTGATGTTTGTGAGGAGGAAGGAGATGGGAACATGTAATATGAAATAGACAAATGTTGAGGCTGTGTTGGGTCATCCGGGAAGCAGATTCTGAGATGAGAGAGGTGATTACAAATAACACTGGTGAGGAATGAGCTAGGGAAGGAACTGATAAAGAATCCATCATAAAGCCAGCTACAGTAATGGGCAGCTGGAGCTCATCCCACTGGGGGGTTAGGGTACAAGGTTGAACATGTCTCAGAGTTAATTCCACTTAGAGGAAAGAAAACTGGGGTAGGTATTCTAAAGTGTGACTATCAACATTTACCTAATACAGTAACTTTTCTCTTTTTAAAACTTTTTTTTACTTTTCATCATGACTACCCAATAGGACCTATTTTTTTCTTGTAAAATTTTAATTTGGAAAAAAATGGAAGTTTATTAAATATTGTTCTTTATAGTCTCTGAAGTAAAGCGCAGGAAGATAGAGCTAACTGAAAGCTTAAATAATAAGGCAATATTCTCAGAATTTCATTTATTGGACAAGCAGAGATTCCACATTTAGTAATGAGAACAAAAATGCTTATTTAACTAGACTGCCATGGATTTCCATATTTGAAACAACCTTCATCAATTAGAAACTAAATCAACAGAGTGAGAGGATAACTTGGTTTGTAAGAAGGAAAGATTGTTTTGCTTTGTTTATTAGATTATTAAGTCTAGAGGTCTTAAAATAATCAAATAATAATTAGGAAATATTTGTTTCAAATATATATTACATTTTCAGGGCTTTCCACATATGTTTAACATTAAACATTATGTGCCCTTCATGTTTTAGAACATATATATTATTCTCTATTTTTTTGACTAGACTTTTCAAATTTTCTTTATACTCAAATGAAAACACTTTAATTTCTTCATATAATGGTTTTCTAATGGATTTAAAAAAAATTTTTTTTTGCATCATTTAAGTACCTGAGTCCAGATTTTTCTTTACTAAAAGCTCTGAGGATACATTTAAGAAAAGGAAACTACACAACAGGCAGAGGGAGTAAATAATGTAAAAACAAAATGAAATAAAACAAAACAAAAAAATATTATATTATCCAGGTGTCTACAGATAGTGACTCAAATACTGAACAGACCCTCCAAAGTGAAAATAGTAGAAGATTCAACTACAAAGAATGAAGCCACTGGTATGTACTCTTTAGCCAGGAGCATTCTTTGGGACAGTGCTAATACAGAGGCACAACACTGGGCTGTAATGGGAATGGAACTGCATAGTATTTCTCACAAGGCCTAGGGGGCATTTTCAAATAAATTTGAGTGGAGTTAAATCACTGAAGTCAATAGGAATTCCAGTGATTTTGCCAACTCGATTTTAGGTCACAGTTCAGGTTTTTTTTATTATTATTTTTAAATCAATACTAGTTTAGGTAAAAATTTTAGAAATGGTGGAGAAATGAACGAAAGCAGCATAAGTTATTTTTTCCCCTTAATGAACAGATAAGTATATGGGAAACTTTTTACTTGAGTAATATAAGATTAGAAAAAGAAGTAGATTTTGAACAATATATGGTAGGTCATGCTCTGAATTTAAAAAAGAAATGGTTCAACAGTTATAAAAACTTTAGATAGATTCAACAGAATTTGGGAAAGTAAACCACCAAGAACTCAAGCTTTTGGTAATTATCATAATCTAGGTTAGTATTCCTGGGAAGAAAATTTTTTTTCCCAGCATTTTTTTTGGCCTGAAATGAATGACATCTTCCTAAGAGAAAGAAAATTAAAATATGAATGTTTTCCTTCAACTTTCCAACCCTGCTGCTAATCACAAATTTTACTCACAGAAAAAGAGTCAAATCTCTAAATAGAAATGTGTTGAACTGCTTCAGTGATTTTTGTTCAAGGACACTCCCTGAAGGAGAATGAACAGATTTTTAAAGTATCACAAGTTTAGTGTTTCTAAAACTAAAAGTTGAAAAATCGCAGTTTCATTTGGTTTTTATCTTTTCTTCAATACGTTTCCCCTAATTTAATGTTGTCATGTTGATAAAAGAATAAAAATGCAAATGAAATAAATCATTTGAAAGTTACATTTAGCTCAGAGCAGGACATTTTTTAT